ACTGCTACTACTACTACTACTGCTACTGCTACTACTACTGCTACTACGACGACGACTACTACTACTACTACTGCTGCTGCTACTACTACTACTACTACTACTACTACTACAGGGACGACGACGATGACTACTGCCACCACCTACCACGACAGATCTTGCTTCAATTCTGCTGGCAGTCCTCGAAATCATTCTAAGCCAGGTTCTCGAATCGGTAGCTGGTACCCGTGTTGTCAGGAGAGAATCTGCCGATACTCTAGACTCTAGACCGCTCTGCTGATCCTCGGGACGATCCCCCAACCGTCTTGCTGGTCGTACTGCCTGCAAGAACTGGCAGACGATAGTGCTGACATGTCTCTGAGATTCGTGACTTGGCATGTGCACGCACATTTCGGCAGCACCAGGAATCAACGCGATCTTTGTGAATCCAGACGCCGGCCTGGTCGGACATAGTCTTCCAGCTTGTTCCCACATTGATACGCAGTGCGGTGTCGCATAGCACCAAGACCAGTACCTGAAATGAGGCGAAAAGGTTACTCCCAAAATTCTCCAGGCTGGCCGTGATGGGACAATTGACATTGAGACGTAGGACTTCTTGGCTTGACATCCCGAAACGAACAAAGGTTTCTCATAATTGTTGCTGTTTGTGCCCAGCGCACGAGCTGTAATGTTTATACTGCATCGGGAAATGAGCATTGAGCAACTTTCGAGGACAAGCCGTCATGTCAGGCCGGGCCTTGCTTCTAACGTCTTGTTAGCAGCATGCTACCATGCATTGGAAGTGCGTGATGTCCCGAGAATTGCTGAAAACTTCCTGGCACTCCGTCCCTCTCCCTGTGATCAGGAGTAGGCAAGAGGATGTCAAGCCGAGGTGCTCAGATTCACCCGAACTCTCGCCTCCGGGGTGCCGAAAACCTAAATTGGGCGCAGGTGTTTGGGGGGTTTGGGCTCCATGGCTATGAAACTCGAACGACGAGAAGTGGAGGGCTCCAGCGTACAGTCCTGACTTCTCTGCCGATGTCGCAGACCTGGGTGATGTCAATGATGTCCGAAAAAGCGCATGTCTTCATCCTGCTGTAAATGCCATTTGTGCGCATGGGTGTTTTCCAATATTGCTGCTATTAATGGCAGTGTCAACTTCGGATATCAATACCCTGCATTTTTCCATATGCGTCCGCGACCCGGTTCGAATTTCGCAGTAGACGCCGAGTTTCTTCGGCTGGCTTGGAAGTTCGGGTCCGATCAGGATCCCGGCCATAGTGTGCCGTGCAAACGTGATTGTGTAGTTGCTACTGCTGATACTGGGCGTCATTACAAGAGGCTCACATCATGATGGTTTGTTTTGGGCACGGGTGCACGGCAAAACGAAGTCAGAGTCCTTAGCAGCAAACCTGCTTCGCTGTATATACCAAGAGCCAGAGCGGCGATAAAATCATCCACTCTAGACTTGCAAACCGGAAGACCCAGAAAAAAAACTGATGAGCGACATCTGGACGACCACATTGTTAACTCAGCGGTGACGAGGCTAAGTTTAGTCCTTGTCTGTGACGGTGTTTGTCAAACTCTGCATCCGCTGCTGCTGTGCGAGATACGATGAGAACCACTGCTGCGCGACTGAGTTTGTCATCACGTCCTTCTTACTCTTGTTGCTGTCGTTGTTGACTCATATATCTATATATTTCTGTGTAGACGTATTTGTTACTGATGTGTTCATGGCAACTTCATCAGAATTCTGCAGCAGGCACATCGTCTGCAGCAGTATCTCTGCCACCTCCCCAGATGCTTGTGGTTTCGGGGCAGGATGAGGATTGGGGCTGCAGGATGAGCACCAGTTGCTTCGGCAATATGACCAGCCATTGCTGTTGCAAGAAGCAGTAGAGTTGTAGTCGTAGTCGTCGTGGTAGTCGCCGTCTCTTGTTGGTGCTGGTGCTCGTCGGGTGCCGGTGCTGGGTATTGCTGGGTGCTGCTGCTGCTGCTGCTGCTGCTGCTGCTGCTGCTGCTAGTGCTCAGGAGCTAGTGGCGCTAGTGCTGGATGCTAGTGCTGGTAGTAGCAGCATCAGCAGCAGCAGTTCAGCTTCACGGATGTGGTACTATCAGTTGCATCAGCAACAACCAGATCCACGATGACAACAACAGTTGCAGCAACAGTACTAACGACAGCCTGTTACGAGGCCATTTAGAATAACATGTAATGATTATTACGTTCTGAGACGTAAGGTGGCGATGGGTTGTGTTTGAGGGTCGGCATACTGAGTAAGCCCATCCAATTGTTCGGGGGTTACAGTGGGGGAGTGTAGAGGAGCTAGGCTCTTTTGGAGGACTGTAGGTGGTGCGTCCCGAGGCTGTATAGGGAGAGAGGCACTTCAGAGGGGCATGCGGATTGCACGGTGTAGTACAGGAGTACGTCAGTACAGTAGAACAGAAGCAGCACAACAGTAGTACCATAGTACTACATTAGTCAAATCTACTACACTAGTAGTACTTGCAGTACAGCAGCAGAGCAGTAACACAGTAGTAGTAGTAGTAGTAGTAGTAGTGGTGGTGGTGGTAGTAGTAGTACTACTACTACTAGTAGTAGTAGTAGTAGTAGTAGTAATTAGCAGTGTGGTCGGAGGGTTTAGGGGGACCGAGAGC